AGGGACCAACTGCATCCAGTTTCTGGGGTTCTGTGGCTACACGGTTATGAGAAAAATAAAGAATGTAAGCACAAGGGAAAAGAAAACTCTAAGCCCACAACTTTTCAGTAGCGTAAAAGTCGCAAACAATATTAATAAAAGAGATGTAAATAGTGTGCCTATAAGAAATGGAAAACGTTTCCTGTTTCTTGTGAACATTTTTGCCTTTTTTAATTTGTTTATCGACGATGTATAAAACGAAAAGTGGACAATAACCAGATGCCTGGAGATCCTAAAATGAGGTTACAGTACACGAGAAAACGCAGTGCCTATGTGAAAGGCTGAATTGACCTAGTTGACAGAGTTCGCATACCGTTTAGGCCAATGTACATGCCGACCGGTTTGTGTGGAAGGCACTTCACTTTTGTCGCCAAATGCAGTACCAGAAGGTTCAGGAGGTATTCCAGTGATTAGGTCTGGTTTAGGGTTTGACTTAAAGGAGTTTCCCGGTGACGCAGAAGATAGTGATTCGCCCTAAATTCAAGCTGCATTCAGTCAATAAACGCTAATGGTGTTCTGGCATCCTGTTCGGTCAATGATCCAAAAATTTCCTTGCCTACTAATGACTGTGAAACGTCCATCCTAGGGAGCTAGCAAGGGATGATGCACAGCGTCATAACTCACAGATCGTGGGTGCAGTCGTGAAGTCCAAAATCTAGCTGTACTTTCCTGCTTTGTGCGTGCTGGTGTTGGCTGAAATCAAATAATGAAACGTGTTTGACGTCGAGAGTAACTTTGAACACCAGAACCACCTAGTTTGGCACCTTCTGAAGAGACTAGTTCACCAGGTAAACGTAGTGTGGTACTGTAAACCAGCTCTGTTGGTGCGCAGTTCACATCCGATTTCAGAGTGGAGCGGATACTGAAAACAACTAAAGGAAGAGAATCTGTCGATTCAGCGTTATCGACGGCCACTGAAGAAGCTTTAAATTTCTGGTGAAAACGCCCTAGTAGTCCGTTATCGGCTGGGTGGTTTGACGTGGATCGAATGAGTTTGCATCCCAAGAGCCCCGGAAGCTCTCTGAAGGCTACAGATTCAAATTGTTGTGATGGTTAGTTGTCACTGTTGAAGGGCGTAGGGAATCAAATAAGTTCGTCAACTCAACTAAGCCTCAGCCCTTTCACCGTCAATGATCTATTGTTTCACCCGTCCGGAATGAAACACATGACAATCGATATAATTTTCAAGGGGCAAGAGGTCGCTAGCTTCACTGCGGCGTGACTACCTACTTTTTTATACTTCATAACTCTTAAGGGAAACCTAATTTCTTAGTCCTTTGTAGTAACCCACTTGTTCACTAGTATGATGATAATATTGCTAACAATGTCCTCTGGTATTATTGTGCCATGTGACCTAATGGGAAGCACTTGTCACGAAAGCTGTTAATGTGCAGCATACTGTATGATTGGGACGGAGTCAAAGCAATCCAATATTACAACTGCAGTCACTGTAAAAGGTCTCAGGTCTTAATGTCAAAAAAGGAGGGAGGGTGGCGCATGCTGATCAGCAGATTTGGTAGTGGTCACAAATGTGAATCGCTCCGATCTGTAGGACAGCAACATGCATTATTTCGGTAGCTCGAGAATTAAACATGAGTTTAGATACTGAATGTATAAAAAATATTAGATTAAAAAAAATTAAAACAATAATGACTGTACAGTTTTAGCTTGTAAAAATATTATGCTTTCGCTCCTAACATCTACAATCCTGCTCAGTTTCTTGTCAAGATGCTATCCCATGGGCCGTACACAAGCTCGCCAGACATCCTACAGGTCACCATATCGAACAGGTTCTAATCCTTCTAGCCACTTCTCTCTGAAATGTCATTTATATACTTCACGATAATCCTTCTACCTAATTACTATTATACTCTATTTTATCTCAACTTCCTAGGACTTTAATAAAGCTGAAATTCACTCTTTTCTTTTTTCTCATTTACACCCTTTTCTCGCGTGAAGTTCGGTTGCTCTGATGATAAAAAAACAAATTGAACAACACTCATGTTTGAGAATAACTTTATTTTCATAGAAAACGTCATAGTTTTCCATGGTAAGACCAATATGGTTAGCGTCATACATTGCAAATGTGCACTATCATATAAAGTACTGTATAGCTTATTCTAGTATTTTTCTTGTAAATATACTTCCAATAATGTATTATTCATGATTGCATTTTATACCGCTTTATAGCTGTGCAGGGTTTTCTCTTATTCCTGAAATAGCGTTCAAGCACGTACAGTACTCACTCAAACATATGTTGTTTATCGATAGGCCATTACTATCATCAGGAAGTGGAACGAAGTATGGGTTGTCGCTTAACTTCGATGGAGACCTTCGTGAAAGATTCACAAATTAACAATTATAAGAATCTGTTCCGATTGCTTGTACCATAATTCAACAATTTGAACTTTTTAAAAAAGTGATAATGTATGTTAATTCATAATTGTAATTCGTAACATAATTGATCGTGCCTGTAAAAATGGCATGCGTTTCATGTAAAGTTACCCGTTTATACGAAATATATATTATATTATTGTACAGTCCTTTCAAATCACCGTCAATAAATAAACCCTTCAGCAGCCATAAGTGCTTTACTGTCCTTTGGGTTGGCCAGACTACAGTCAGCAAGTAGTGTGGATACAGCTCGGATCTAGCAGGATTGGTAACCAAAAACAATTTTGGGCGTTATTTCTAGTTTAGGCCAAATAAAATTGACCTCGAATCTGTTCAGGTAGCCTAACCAACCTGTTCCTTAAACTTGGTAGACAAGTGCTGCTCTCTTGATTAAAGCTGCTTTCACACAGTCGTGAAGGACTGGGAACAGGTCGCCAACGATTTCTGAAACGTTTTCCGTGATGGAAGAAGACTGACAATTTCCAAGTTGGCCTCAGTCTTCCAGGGTGTATACGACACAAAGCTAGCTGGGCTAAACAATGAGAACCAAGAGGATGATCAATTCACCTCGAAGGAAGGGAATTGCAGTGTAACTGCCATCTGCGCAGGAGGGGAGTTTCCAGCCATGGCTGGATAAAATACATCAGCAGTCTGAAACAGAACAAGACTTCAAGTGAAAATAAAAACAACCTCATATACTTAAGTGAAAAACGATGCAACGACTGAAAAATTAAACCATGTGCAAATTGCACTCAAGATATGGCTTACTTACTGTGAGGCACTGATAATGCTGTTGATAAGCTGTTGTTGTTATACACCACAAAAGGCTGCAGATGAAATTAACTTAGAAATACTCTGGTTGTAGTTAGTTTTTCATAAGCTTGGCAGTCGATTGCTTTCACAGAGAGCCTTTGTGACGATTTGATCCTTCAGTTTTTCACAACTTGATAAAGCTCCGGTATTTTTATTTTTGACCATCCAGTTGTCGTTTCCTAGGTCCTTATTGAGTTAATTCTTATAGAAAAAATGCACCCGAGAAAACGGAAGCGTTGGGGGAGGCTTATGTGCAACTATCCAGTAGAGGATAGTATGCATTGTGATGAGTGTGACCGATGGTCCCAAGGTATATGCACTGACCTAACCCTTGTGGCATGGACGCGTTGCTGGAGACCCCTCCAACACTAGTTGTGCAATGACTGTTTCAGCGAAACAGAAAGTTTTATATGGGAAACCACTGCAGTGCGTAGCGGGGCACTGAAGCCTTTGAACTGAAAGGTTCCTGCCTCTCAGAGGGACAGCAAACAGTGATGGGGTTAGCGTTACTGATAAGATTTTGCGTATTTTAGATTTCCAGAGGCGATCGACGGGAAGCCTTGAAAATAGGTTCCGACCTTGTTGGAACTTGTTGGCAGAGCGTACCCACAATCTGGCAGGAACTCAAGTCCCTTTTGAGAATCGAAACACGGTCACCTAATGCTATACTCGGAGACATTGCCACTGAGCAATCCGCGACCACAACTGACTTCCCGGGGGACTGTGATAGATACTTTGGTTCGACACTAGGTAGTAACTAATGTTGTATATCTAGTGCTTCGTATTGATGCAGGCTAATTTCTAACAGTCAATCGCTAGTACGAATAGTTGAATGTTAACAACTCTAATTTCCGCTCTGGTTGAACTAGCTTCGAATCTTAGAAGAGATATGTGTTGCTCGAGTACAGTTCCCTGAGGCACTTCACTTAGTACTGCTTTCCACTCTGACAGTACACCATTAACCCTTACCTTCTGCCTCCTATCCATCAGGTAGTCGCTAAACCACTCACATAAGCGTTAGTCTATTCCAAAACGTTTGAGTTTGCTAAAAAGAACTTTATGGGATACCTTATCGGATGCTTTATTAAGATCGATAGAAACAACGTCCAGTAGATGGTTCTTATCCCTGACCTCGACCTAATCTTCCCTAGCTAACAACGAGTTTGTTAAGCAGGATCGTCGTGGTTGGAATCCATGCTTTTCCACTGCGGGTAAGTCATGTTTTTCCATATGAGCTAAGAGCTGCCCCCTTATGAGTTTTTCTCACACCTTTGCCATAATGCAAGTCAGACTTACAGTCCGGTAGTTAGATACTGACTGTCTTCTCCCTTCTTTGAAGATGGTGCTTATTAACAGTATCTTTCCAGTCCCTGGGTAGCATAGCCTGGGTCAGAGACATTTGAAAAATCTCCGTAAGTAGAATGTATCAGCCAAGGAGATTAGCAGTCTAGGGTGAAGTCCGTCAGGTTCAGGTGACTTATCTGTCTTCAGCTTAGACAGTAGTTTGAGAACCACTGCATTCTCTACTATAATTATAGGCGTTTTAATGGCTACATCGTCAATCATTTAAAACCGCAACAAGCCTTCATCCGTACTTACCCTCGGAAAGACTAGCAAGTTGCTCCAAATGCTGATCTTATTTTCAGAAAACGATCGGAAATCGGTAACCACTGGAACGACCTTGGACGATTTGGATTAAATACATCTCGAACGCGGGTACTTCACATTTCTTTTGACCACGCCAGTAACGTGACATGGACGGCACCAAAGGGTTCGTTGCATTTTGTTTTATTAAATTTTTCACTGTAGAGTTCCAAAGGAAGGTAAGTATCGAGCATGAAACCATACGAGTTATACCCACCAGGTGGTGACATTTCAGACTCTGCAGAGCTAAATGAAACGAGATCTGAAGACGCTAAAATAAGTGCTCTTCACGATTACCATCTGTGAGTTCGACTATTTGCTCATATTTTAGTTTACCTGCCCCGGTTAAACGACGTGTTCGTGCTCTGAAGAAGTTGCAGTATGAGACACTAAAAATTGACTCACAGTTTTTTAAAGAACTCTTTGAGTTGGAAGCTAAGTATGATATTCAGCACCAGCAACTATTCTCCAAGGTTAGTTGTCTTGGTTCATGAATTACCATGCAGAGACGGGATATTGTAACCGGGGAAGTTGAACCGAATGATGAAGAGTGTGACTGGCCATCGGATGACGAAGATGTGGACAATCTCTCTGAGAACGTTAAAGAAAAAGTCACAGTATCAAAGGAGACAGAGGATAAAGGTGAGTAAGTATACTTTGTGTAATGTCCTGTAGCTCTTGAAGCAGATAGCAAGGGGATCCCAGACTTCTGGTTAAAAACACTGCAGAACATTTCTCTGTTTGATGAAATGGTTCAGGAACACGATCGTGACATACTTAAACACCTAGTGGACGTGAAATGCGTTCTCAATACAGGCGAGGAAGCAGTAAGTTTTCGAGTACTTACTAATCAATATAGGGATTCACACTTGAATTCTACTTTTCTCCAAACAAATACTTCACAAACACTGTCCTGACCAAACAATATTATTTCAATTATGAAATCCCAAGTGATGATCCTTTCGGATATGAAGGACCAGAAATTGTTCGTGCTAAAGGGTGAGTTATTGTACAGTCTAATTTATTTGCGTAGTTGTGTGATAAACTGGAATCCAGGAAAAAATGTAACTGTGAAGTTGGTGAAGAAAGTTCAAAAACGAAAATCTGGAGGCGCTAAAAGAACTGTAACGAAAAGTGTCCGGGAAGATTCGTTCTTCAATTTCTTTTCACCTCCCGCAGAAAGTATGTCATTTTAAAAGCATTCTAACTATTCCTTTCAGATCTATCTGATGATTTGGTGAGTTTTTCATTTGCATTATAATCTTTTCAGGATGAGGACACAGAGTTGTTACTTGAGTCAGATTTCAAACTTGGTCAATTTCTAAGAGAGAGTGTCATCCCCAGAGCAGTACTTTACTTCACTGGTGAAGCCGTCGATTCAGAGGTGAGTTGCATTGCATCGTATCGCATCTATAACGTTGTAGTATGATGACGATGACGACGAGTTCGATGATGAAGATCTGTCGGACGAAGATGATGATGAGGATGATGACGATGAAGTAAGTTAACATTACAATATGTATTACTTGAAAGTATAGTTACTTTCTAAGTTTCGGATTATCACAAAAAAACCTTCCTAAGTTGTAATTCTTTGCACTCACGGTATAAACTCCTGAGTCCATAAGGGTTGCTATTGAAAATTTAAGATAATCGACCATTGCTCATGTAATAGCTTGGTTAGTCTCACTATACTTTTTAATAGCGTCTTACCCTTTTCTACTTTAACCTGCATTTTGTCTTCTTTTGTAGGATGAGAAAGAAAATTCCCATGTAAGTCTAAGTCATTATGTACTGTGTATCCCCCACTTGAATGTTATCATTGGTAGTTGCTTAACGGAAAAAGGATAGAGGAAGTCCACGAGTTATTCTGCTGAAATTGGCGTGACGAATAGCGTTATATCCTTCATTGTTTGGACGATATTTAGTATTAACTGTAACCACTGAGAAGAGCCCAATGAACAACTTGAGCGGTGTCATGACTTTCTTCCCAAACATAGATGTGCACCAAGAATAAGATATTTTCCCGTCGATCTAGGAGACACCATGCCGTCTACCTTTAGTGTTCTTTCAACATGCTATTTTTGTATTAAGAACCATTAATCTTAACACATCATTAAATCACTAACACATATGCGACTGTCACATATACGCTTTGGATCTACCTGGAGTCATAAGAGAATCCCTATAATCAGTAGTTATGTTCATAATTTGCTCATTCGGCAGTTCCTATTGATTAAGTGGGGTGTACTAACGACAAGTCTGGTTCAAGTTACTAACATCAAGAATGAAATGTAAGCAGTAAGTCTTCATATCATTGAATTCAAGTCTCATGTTTCGCGTTGTGTGTACTTGTTAGCTTGTAAGCATGCGGAATAATGGTTCAAGTGTGAAATGCATTCTGACTCAACTATTATGCTTCATAATTTCTTTTAATGCTTTACACTGGCTCAATATTGGCGATTAATAAATCCTTTTCCTCTGTTACTTTTCCAGTCACATCCCGCTCGAGGAGGAAGACATAACCGCGCTCCACATAGATCAAAACAAGGTAACCGAAATGCTGACGAACGACCAGAATGCGCCCAGCAATAACTTAACATTGTACCTGTCAATATATATTCCAAATAATTCTTAAAAAGAATTTGTTGAGCTTTATGGTTCAACAATGCATTTTATCGCTCATAAGAACTCTTTGATTGCCTGTTTCAAAAATATATGATCAATTAAGTGACTGTCGTGCTCTTTTGGTATCTGTAGTGAAGTTTTTTTCGACGTTTATTGTGGGATTCGTATAAGCGCACACAAACATGAGGGGCTTGGCTAGCAAGACTGATTTCATAATTCATCTGTCATAGGTTCTAGGACACTAGGTCGAGTTGTTCGGTGTAACTTTCGTTTTCGATGCTTTACTCCAGAAAAATATGACGTTCGTTTCGTCGTCTCTTTGTACGAGAGTAATGATTAACGTTCGCATGTTCTCTTAGGTACAGGCGGTACAGCTCACACTAGTTCTGTATATAATTTAGACAACATGATATCGATGGGAATATTGCCATTCGTTTTAAAGCACAACATGAGAATCAACTGTATCTACCGACGACTGCTTAGTTTGAGTGGTATATACATATCGAACCACTGTGACCTGCAAAACAGCGTCTTCTAGGGGTTTTCAGGTAGTGCTGCCTCCTCTCATGATCTCTCGATAAAAATGCCTTAGTAAAGATTAAGTTACAGCTTCGGGTCATGAATAGACCACCATTTTTCGACTATGAATCAGATATATTCGGTTGAGTTTCGAGGACTCCCTATCCTTATATTTTTTTAGAACCACTGACGACAATTTTAGTGTCCAGCATATCCTACTCACCTCTCCCATCAAAGTGGACCACTTCATGGATTTATAACTGTAGAGCCTGAAGAAGAAGTTATCGAAAACAATTGTTCGCTCAAAACCTTGTTTTGATTTCAATATGGGGATATTTCATTTACTGAAATCTTGTGAGCATCCCGTTGCACTGAAGGCACTCAACGAGTATCTGAAGTATATTGCAAAGCTCGCTGAAGCGAAAACTAATGTGGAGTTTATCCGAAACTGTATTGAGAATAACCATTATCCTAAATCACTCCATCGATGTAAAGTGCGCCCTAATACGAAATCTCTCAAGCGATTCGCTCTTAATCAGATTGAATCTCTTCAAGGATATATTAGCACATAAGAAAGATATATACCATAGAGACAATATGCTGTTGATGAACTTCCCACACATTTAAAGGAATTATTCTTAAAATACGTCCATGATGTTCCTAAAACTAGAGAAACTAAAAAAAGAATTCAACTTACAAAAGGATTAGACACGGAAATATCAGAATCCCATTTTCCCAAGGACCCTCTGAAAGGTACGTCTTTTTAACTTTTCCAGTGTGACTTTAGATAAGACTGCTATGGGAGTGTTGTCATTGGGCCGTAAATTTTGCGATAATAGAGTTAATATTGACCAACTACAGACAGAATTTCAGTTTGAAAACCTCTTCATTCAGACACTAGACCTAACACCGTCCTCCGAATACGAGTTAGACAGATTTAAGAGTACCTTGGTTGACTGTTGTTACCAATACAATAATGCCAAGATCGACAAGAAAAGTATATCAACCAAAAAGCATAGGGAATGCCTCAAAAAACTAAGTTCTGATGACAGCATTATTATCATGAAACCGGACAAGGGATCAGGTACAGTAATTTTAAACAAATGCGACTACATTGATAAGATGAACACCCTACTGAATGATCGTTCTAAGTTTCAAAAGTTAGGTAACAGGAAAGATTCGAATGAAGCAACAGAACGCCAGTTCGTCAAAACTTTGAAGTCTTTAAAAAATGAAAATCTAATTGATAGTTCCATATTCGACGCTATCAAGCCCACTGGAACTCATCCGCCCAGACTTTATGGCTTACCCAAGATACATAAGCAGGGAACTTCCCTACGACCAATCCTGGACATGTCGAACTCGCCCTTCCATTTAACTACCGAGTGGTTAGTTAATCTGTTAGCACCGCTACATCGCCAGTTTGTTAAATATAGTGTAAAAGATGTCTTTGACTTTGTTAAAAACATTAAAGATATGAACTTAGCACACAAAACTATGTTATCGCTGGACGTAACATCACTATTTACCAAGGTCCCCCTTGTAGAAACTGTCGACTACATATGCGAGCAACTCGTAGAAAAGAAAAAAGGAATTGGGATCACACCAAGAAAATTGAAAGAATTACTACTAAAATGCACTATGAACGTTCAATTTGTGTTTAATAAGGAGTATTACCGCCAAATAGATGGGGTTGCTATGGGTTCTCCCCTTGGTTCCTTATTAGCTAACATATTTCTGTCTAAATTGGGAAACGGTCCTTTAAAAGAGATACTAAACAAACTCGATTATTATTGTCGATATGTTGACGATACCTTTATCATTTGTAACAATAATCTGGATAGACAACACCTGCTCCAAGTCTTCAATAAGGTACACACAGCTATTAAATTCACTTGTAGAGAGGAAATCCAAGGTAGTATTCCATTTCTGGATGTTCTTCTTACAAAAAGAACAGACGGTACCTTAAAGAGAAACATCTATATGAAAGCTACGTGGAATGGACATTACACCCACTTCCATGGCTTCATACCTATACAATAATGTTACATATAACCAGAAATTCATATCCTGCAAAAATGCTTCTAATATGTGAAAACTATTTAAGGAAATCACTGGTGGTAAGCAGATAAACAATATTCCGTATTCTTCTGATGTATGTACTCTTAACAAATCTTTTATTTATTCTTCCTCAAATTCCATGCTTCCCAGTATCACTAGTATTAAAAATAGCCCCTTTCCAGGTTTTAACACAAATGATGTTCAAAAGTGCCTCAAGTCTCTGAACCCTTCCCAGAGCTTATGTCCAGATCATGTACCTAGTATTATTTTTTTTAATGTTCTGATATTCTGTGTCACCCTCTCACTGATCTACTTAACAAATCTTTTTCCAGTAATATTGTGCCTGCCGTTTGGAAAGACATTAAAGTTGTACCCATACCTAAATCGTCTACTGGAGCATGTGTCAAATTTAGACCCATTGCTATTACCTCTCCTTTTCCGAAAGCTATGGAGAAACCACTTTTACTTAGTCTTGTACCCTGGCTTAAATCCTTTAATGACCCAAAACAATTTGCCTATAAGCACAGTAGAAGCACTTTAGATGCAGCTGCCGTCTTATATCGTAACATTGCTTCCAGTCTAGACAAAGGGGCTAAATTTGTTCGTTGTGCCTTCCTGGACTATACATCTGCTTTTGACTCGGTCCCTAGGAACATCTTATTAAATAAACTTGCTGCAAGTCAAACAGAATGTCGGGCTGTTAATTGGTTACATTTCTATTTCTCAGAAAGAAAGCAGTACACCGTGTATAGAGGGAAGTCTTCCACTTCATTGACTACTGAAGCTGGTGTCCCTCAAGGTGCTGTCCTTTCTCCTTTTCTTTCTTCTTACATGACTTGTGAAGTACGCCGATGATTTAACAGTTTCAATGGCTGTTAACTCCCAGCTAGATTGTACCAAAATAAATAGCTTTCTGTCGGGAGTCAGTAAATGGTCTGAGTCTAACGGTCTTAAACTGAATCCTTCTAAATGTCAAACTGTTAATTTCAGCTTAAGATGTAAGAGACAGTTAAAAGAAGCCATCGATTCTCATGACAGTTGTAAGATTGGCGACAGTGATATAGGAATTAAATCAGAAATTAAGTATCTTGGACTTATTCTCTCTTCTGATCTCTCCTGGTCTTCCCATGTCTCAGCGATCTCCAGTAAAATATTCCGCCTGACATTTCACATTAAGAAGTTAAGGCACTCGGGTATAACTCAACCCCTCCTCTTACAGTTCATAAACTCTTGCATCCTACCTATTCTTCTTTATTGTTCCCCTTATTCTTTCCTGGTTTGCTTGAAAAGGACTATGTCACAATTCGTAGAATGCTGAAGACTGTCAATGGGATGAGTGGTGTCCCAGTGGACCACATAGTTAACGTCGTTGTCAATAGGCACTTGACTTCACGCAGTAAATTTGCTAAAGGGATTTTGTCTGACTTGCAGCATCCTATTTTACCCTCAGCTTTCACCATGCATCTCCTCAGGTAGAACAAGAAGTAACTTCAGAAAACTGTATGCTCGCACGTCTAAGTATAAAAATTCTGTTATACCACACTTAGCACGTATTTTATGTGATGAAAATAGCGTCAGGCAAGAATTGACTAACCTTTATTCATCTAGTAAATAAACAATCTCCTCCATCCATCCTTATATACCTTCAAGTTTTACTTTTATTATTTCTATTATATTTATGGTCCTGTTGCTTCTTTGTTTTTACTTTCATAACTGCAAACACCAAGTTATCTCTATGACTTCTGTAATCTCTGTTTTTTCCCTCACCATATAATGTAAAGAGAACATTATATTCAATATTTTTAATCATGCTAGGATTTCTATACCGCATCGGCAATACTGTGTGAAACAAGCCCACAGTAAATTCCACTTGTATTATTATTATTGCCTTAGCTGCTACCATTATTATTATTTCCATTTTATATGCTGCATGTTTTTCTTTATATTACCCGTATTGTAAATGAAGAAAAAATTTCTGTGATTAATTTTATTTATAATTTGAGGAAATTAGATGCAATATTGTGATTAATGCTGAAAATTCCAATCTGTATCATAAGTAGTTTTTGGGATAAAGTAAATTATTATTATTATTGTTATTATTATTATTATTATTATTATATAAGCGCAACCTAATTCGTTGTCTTAGTCATAGAATTAGACGCATATATACGGACGACTGCATTGAAGATGAAATAAAAAATCTTACAAACGCCTTGTTACAAAACGACTATCCTATCAAGTTTGTAAAGAAGTATGTCCATGAAACTACATACAAATCTAAGCGAGACACAGTAAGAAAAAGCTTTACTTAAATTTACAATTCAAAGGCGATATATCCAGTGACATATTAAGCCGTAGATTAACGAGAGCAATTGAAAGAACTTTCA